TACCTTCTAGATCCCATAGACAACTTCTGCGCTATAAGCGGACACTCAAGTAATAAATCCTACCTCACCCCTATCAAACCACATAAAAACCTCTAACCAAAATACTCCCAAAGGCCTCATAATCGCCAACAAGCTCTACATAACAACCGGCTACGCCCCCGTCGTCGAAAACGGCACAACCCGCATTGCCTCATCCCCCTGGATCCGCGTAATAGACCTCACCGAACCCTTCAACCTAAACCGCACGGCATCAGTAACCACAATTCTTCCACCGTCAATAGTACCCGTCAACATCCCAGACAACCAAGGCGCATCATTCTGGTGGGATCCCACGAGTTCGACCGTGATATACACACAAGGTGGCGCAACGATAGAAGGATCCGGTGGAGTTATCAGAGACGCGAATTTAGTATCCTTTGGACGAGCGGGAAAGTCTTGGTCTGGAAGATATAATTCCGCAAATGAATCGTTCGGAACTTGGGAGGAGATAGATACACCGTTTTTGGGACAGACGGGACAGATTTCCTCACTCAGAAGGTTTTTTGACCCCGTTGGGCGGAAGGGGTATATCTACGGCGGCGACGTAGTAGGAGAAGGCGGCGGGCGGTGGAATCAAGTGGTAACATACGATGCGGTTCAACAATCATGGACGAATAAAACGACTCCATACGGTAGTTTTGATAGCGTGGGCGCCGCGGTTCCGTTTACTACAACATCTGGGAGCGTATTGGGGATTTTATTCGGTGGAACGTTGAATGGAACGCCGTTATCTATGGAAACGATATTTATTCACGATACGGAGACTGATAATTGGTATCGACAGCGGACTAATGGTTCGCCACCGATCCCGCGTGGACACTTTTGCGCTACGGTTATAAAGGCACCGGATAATACTAGTACGCAGATTCTGGTATATGGCGGATTCGGGGACGGTCATCCGTCTGATGTTTTTGCACTTTCGTTACCGTCGTTTACGTGGATTCGATTGGAAGAGCGGAGTCCGGATTTCCTACCCGGTCCCGGTGTTAGATTACAGCCCTCGTGCGATGTGGTTAACAATAGATTCTTGACGATATTTGGCGGGAGGAGTTTGGTAGGTGGGGATACGGCGAACTGCGATACAGACCAGAATGCTCTGTTTATGTATGATCTGACGGAACGGGAGTGGATAATCGATTATGACCCGGCTTTGCGGGATTATGATATCCCAGAGCCGGTATACCAGGCGATTGGCGGGAAGTAAGTATCTTCATCTCAATACTCATCTCTATAAGAATACAAAGAAAACGATACTAACAGAAGCGGTGAATAGTTCCTCAGGATACGCAACAGTAACAGAACCACCCGAAGGTTTCGCAGAACCCACAATGGCAGAACTATTCGCCATAACCACTCCAGCCACAACCACATCCTCCTCCCCAACAGGCACAGAAACAAACCCTCCTCCAACAACCACTAGCGCTCCGGAAACGAAAAAGCCTAGTATCGGTGGTATCGTCGGTGGCGTAATAGGCGGTTTGATCGTTATTATTGGAGCTTTGGTTTGGTTATATTTTAGGAGGAAAAGAAGAGTAGGGAACCTGCCGGATTTACCGTTTAGGGCACCGCCGCCGCCGCTGAGGGCGGAGATTGAAGGTGTGCCTGCGGATAGATCGTATGCGGTGGAAGTTGATGCATTTCCTCCCAGACCGGAAATAATGGAGTTAAACGGGCACGGTATATTAAAACCGAACGGGGGGCCTCCGGTTGAATTGCCGGTAACGGAGTTACAAGTGGACCCAAGAAAGTGATAACGATATGGTATAGATCTTTGTATGACTATGTATATTGGTTTAGCGCTGAGATTTGAAGATTTCCCCCTTCTCATATAGATATTTACGATATTTTAATAATGATACCCGTTGAACAAGATCCTCTCAATCGTACGATATTCGAATTATGGCTAGTGCCTAGGATATACTATATTATACAAAAGTTAGAATACCCACCAGACCTTAACGCCTCACAAATGCCTTAACAAATAATCACCGCAATGCAATCAATGCGATCAAGTTAAACAATAATCCAGAATAGATCAAAGATACCAGAAGAGTTTAGAGTCTCCTCAATCTTTCCAGTTCTCCCTCGATCCATGCTCTACGTCTCACCCATCCTTCGACACCGCCATTAACTACTTCCCACACCCTCAACCACCCACCAACTTCTTCGTCATCCCAGACGTCTCCGGCAAATCTGGCGTCGTACTTTGCCATTCTTGTCTCGTAGATACTCCTTAGTCCCCAATATCTGTCAACACCGGATCTACCGGCATCTTCAGATCCGCTCCATAACCTCCATTCCGAGTTTGTAGGGTACAGTTCGACTGGATAGACAGGAGTAAGCGCGAATGGAATTGTATAGACATCCCTCCAACCGAGAACACAAGTAATAGCGCTTGTTGCAGGGTCGATAAGAATATTTCCAATACTCAAGGAATTGTGGAATAATGTGAGTTGAGAGTATGCTTCCGGCACCGACGGGAGTAAACCAAGTAAGCCGGCCAGTCGTCGCTTTACAGTTCGTATCTCTTTGTATCTACCGTTATTCCCTCCAGTGGCCAACGATAACGAACTTGTCTCCGCCGATTGGAAGACTTGGAGACATAGATCTGCTAGTTCTGTAATTGGAGCCGACGCTTCAGGGTCCTGACTCGAGTCTTCGTCTGCGCCGAGGAAGGGGCCTAAGGTGAACGTTTGCTTCGGTTTCTTGGCTTCCATTTTGAAGTAGATGTTTCCGATTCGGTCAACGTTCAGTGAATTCGAGGCGGTCGTCGACCTCATGATTTGGCATTGAATTCTCGCTAGGCCGTCTAGCAATGCCGCCGAACGTTTTCGATCTTTTAGAGCGGAAGGTATTCCGCCTTCGAGTGATGCGACGCTACGACCTCTCAGAGATCTAATAACCAAGAATGGGACCCTAGAGGCATTGGAAGGGTCGAGGTTGTGATATGCGATTTCGGGTGTGGGTATCGAGGGACAAGTTCGACGTATAAAAGATATTGTAGCTATCTCTGATAGCATTTTCGTCGGTTCTGAGGGGTTAGATGGGGTATACGGGATCAAGATCTGGTACGGCAGAGACGGATTGTGTATCGAGAATAATTTGTAGTGGCTTAGAGTATCTGCTATCCGTGTTAGCCGTATTCAACGAAATGATCATACACTGAACAAACTAACCTTGAAGAACCAACCTCTCCGACCCGCGAATCGGCACGCCCATTTCCTTAAGAACATCAAATAACCCAGCTACATTAAACCGCACCGGCATCACCGTCGTTTTCTGATGCTGCGAATACTCCCTATCGATCTCCTCCCAAGATTGTCCACCCTTAAACCCATTAATCTCATTCCGTCCATCCTCCACCCCATCCGACGTCGACGGGAGCGGCACATCCTCAGCTGGCGGTTCAAACTCAATCGACGTATAAAACTGTTCCTGCTGAAACTGATCGTTGCCTGTATCCAGATCCTCACGATTCGGCGGTGTATGCGCGCGTTCACTAGCCGCGGCTATCGATACCGGCGGTTCATCTGCGATCCGGATTCTGGGTGTAACTCGACCGTCTGATTCTTCATCTGATGACATATCATCGTTGACCGGTGGTGCAATATTCTTCTGCCAGCGGTATACATCCCCTCCTCCTCCATTAGTTCCACCATTCCTTTGTAACGGCGCATTGATAGCAGCAGTATTATGATGCTTATTCACCATATACCGTCCACCAACTTCCTCCCTATTAAAATCATGTAAAAACTCTCCATTGTCGTCCCGTTCACTATCATCATCATCGTCGTCGTCATATCCACCACCACCACCATCCTGATTCACCAAAGAAAGAATCTCCGAATCCTTGAAATCATCAGAATCATCTTGTAACTCCACTGCCACTGTCGCCGTCGTCGGTGCACCTCTCGAATTCCTAGAAGGTACACGCGTAGAAGCTAGAGGAATATGTGAGCCTCCACCATTATTCGCAGAGGAAAAGGTCGACGGATGTTGTTTGACAGGCGACTCGGACCGTGTGGCGGTATTGCGAGTAGTAGCGCGCCGATTGATGAAGTTTTGAAGGGAAGTCATGATCATTTGGTCGTCGTTGACGTCGTTAAGGATTTTCGCATGGTTCGGTTGGTTGGTTGTTTACTGCGCTGTCGTTTTTCGTCAATTGGAAGCTTTGGGACGGAAACCAGGGCGACGTGTTGTTGCCGTGTAACCATTGTTGGTCACGTGAGTTGGTGATAAGGTTTCGCCTGTGTTGTTAGCTGCAGCTCATTGGTTCTGTTGGGCAACACGAAAATTGCAACAGATTGAACGGACACCGGTCTTTTAACAGTTACTGTCGTATCAGTTTGGGATATCTCTGGTCAATATTTAATGTCACTTTCTTTATAGTATAGGTATATACCTATTTCCCTAACATAAAAAATCTTCTAGCTAATCTAGTCTACTCTAAGAAAAAAAAGATTGATCATACCACCCAGAGTATCGAAGCATAGACTCCCTGGAGAAATTATCATAAGCCGGCCGCTGCTGTATCGATATTGGACTGTACTTAATTGCAGCTAGTTTGTACGGTGCTAAAGTCATATAACCCCCCCCCTTATTCATCCTATATTTACTAATATATAACTGAAAGATTATCATCAATCTGCAGAAGAAACAACCTCGGACCGAACGTCACACGTTAGCAGGATTGGCCATATGCATGTGCTTAGGATGAGTACAAGAGTAGCAGGGTGGTTGAAAGGTACTCAAGTATTCAAACGTTTGTGAGGAAAGAGGTTGTCGAAATTGAATACTGTACTGTCCAGACAACATAGTAGACAGTTAAACTCCCTCCAAGTTGAAACCGCTTCAACCAGCAACCAACCCATTTAAGTGACAAACAAGTGTTGCCCTCCCAACACATTTTCCGCCCCCAAAGGTAAGAGCAACAAACTTTTCCGCAGTTCTCAACAACTCAAGACTGGTTGGCGCAACGGTAGCGCGTTCGACTCCAGACAGCCCTTTCCATAAGGATGATGGTAATCGAAAGGCTAGGCGTTCAAATCGCCTACTGGTCATTTAACAGACAACCTTCTTTTTTTGCCATTTTTTTTGAATTTCCTTTTGAGATGGGTAAAAACTCTTTTTTTACTGGGGAGGGATTGTTGGTTACTAGTTTTTTGGCGGTTGACAGGGTCAGAGACGGCTAATAGTGGGCTTGGGCGAATCGCCGTGAGGAGCCGTTCCCGATTGGGTCGCTTTCCTGTTCTATACTAGCGTTTTGGAACACTATTATTTTCCTCCAGTTCTACAGCTGCTATTATATTACGGGTTTACTGATCGGTTTTCATAAGAGGAATCAATACATACTTTAGGGGAGGATGAAGCTGCTGGTGGAATCCCGGGAAATCATGGATGCTATGCTACGAAACAGCGGTGAAGCATTTGTAAATATCACCAGTTTACAACGGTTTAGTTCTATTTCCCTCAAATATGCTACCTCTGAGAGCCCTACTCTGTTATCGGGCTTTAAGGTTTGGAAGTTAGACGCAATCGCCCTCAAAAGCCGCCTCGTGGAAGACCTGACATGGAGAATCCATAATGTTGCGCCATGATTCTCTCATATTCATGGTTTACATGATCAACCAATCCCACGATATATATATATACAAATGTGGTCTCCCTCACTCCCCTGGCTTCTAATAGCCACCCTCGCCACCCTCTCAAACGCCTACAAACTATCGGTAAACCTCAAACCCATCGACACCAACCTTCTAACCCTCTCACCAGAAGAAGATAGCATCGAAAACCTCTTCGATGAAATATCAGAAGAAGGACGCCCAAGTATTCTCGAGGGTACAAAGCGATTACTCCCAGCTCTCGAATCCCTAGAAAATGATTCCCCAAATTTAGGTGAAGGTGGGGGTTTATCAATCGCAGGTCGGATTTCGTTACCAGTTTCAGATCTGCATCATCCGATCGCTGGGTATCATGGTGCTGCGTCCAGACAGATCTCGGATATTCTGGGTGAAGCGGCGGATATTCCGTTGACGAGGACTACGAGTGGGAAGAGTAGGGCTTCTAATCAACAGCGTGAGGAGAATGGGGTTGTGGAAGTTAGTGATGATATTCCGCCGGATTCTCGGGGTCGGTGTATTGAATTTGAAGCTCCGGACGGGGAGTATATCTTACAATCTATCATACTAGCGAATTTCACTCCGTATGATGAAGTTCCAATCGGTATATCAATATTCTCCGCCCCGGGCTGTCGCAAAAACAGGGGATTCGTGGGGTATAAAGAGATAGAAAGGACAGCAGAAGCACAGGAATACAATATAGATCTCAAAAGACTTAACCAACAGATTTCAAATCAATTCAGTATCCTCCCTGTCTACGGTGCCGAAGACACCGAAACCCCGCTTTACCATACTTCAGACGAAGACATCGGTTCTCGTCCTAACGCCCCCCTATTCCACTTCAACCGACCACCAGAAATCGACCTAGACGAGAACCTACTAGCAGAGGACTTCGATGATTACGTTCGAGACCTCAATGTTCCTTGGGATCGATTAGCAAACGCTATTCCTCAATACGAAGAAGAAGAAAAGAGAGAAGCAACGCCGCCGGCTAGGAGGAATCGTCCTTCACCGTGGTATGTAAACCGACAGTTACAGCTAGAATTCCCGGGGTTTGAGATTCCTTCGCCAAGACCTTGGAACGCAATGGCCGCCAATAGTGATGATGAGATAGATTCTGCACACGTGGATTCGGCGGGGGATCGGGGTAATTCAGATACCATTCTGGCTTCTGCGAATAATAATATGGCGGCGCAGTCTATAGAGCCTGGGTTCGATATAGGTGACTTTGACCTTCGAGAGGGTAGTGATGATGATGTAGTTGCGGGCGGGAATAATCAAGGACCGGCTGGGGTGGGAACTCAGATTAGTGTGAGGGGATATCCGGAACGTTGGTTCTTGGAACTTAATCAGAATCCGAGGTTGGGGGGGTTGGATTACTGGCAGCTTCCTGAGAACCGTGGGGATTCGTCTTCGGAGGATAAAGGTTTAGGATGAAGACTAACTTAGTATACTAGTATTTTACTGCCAATATCACTTCCTTGCCTGTATCTTAGTTGTCATGAAGGTCATATAGAATTTTTGACTTAGTTCGAACTGTCCTTTAAATCGGTTCGGTGGCTTAGGTACCAAACGTTCACATTAATTTGGAATATTTGCTACCTGTACTCCACTGGCAATAAAACAGACTATTTTCTCAGTCAGGAAACCATTTCCAGCATATTCGCAGCCTATTCAGCCGTCCAATTCGCTCCCAATCCAGCCTTCAAATCCCAGCCGCAAAGCCATGCATGGTTAGTCCCGTCTTTAGCTCTGTGTTGCCAACGTCTCCCACTTCCAGAATAGTTTTCCCTTCAAACCTGGTCTCGTATTAAAGCTGTCGACAAATAACGTAGCACAAAGAAAGCTTGTTTTTCCACAGACGATCAAAAACCCGGCCTGGTTAAATACTCCCCTTAGCTAGCGTCATCATTCATCGTACATGATCGAAACGGACCCAATCAAGACCGATGGCCGACCTTGGAACCGCATAACCCTTGTAATATTATCTAATCAACAAGTTTTCCAAGCTGGCGCCATGGCTTTCGCTGCTGACTGTGGAGAAACTGAGATCACACGGTAAAACATTAAAAACCTGACCAATCAATACCACAAAAGGTGCTTAAATGAACAGTTATCCATCATACATTCCCCACTTCTCAGCGAATAAAAATCGTTTACGGTCTGTGGGGCTATAACGTTAATTTCCATGGGATATCATTCGAGTCGGCATATGGGGGAATAGTTTTCCCAGTTCGGAGCATTGAACAACACGAATTATTTCCTGATTCGGCAAGAAACAGTTGATTCGATAGGTACCGACAGAAGACATCCACCTGAATATTTCTTGGCTGACGGGTTATACCGTAAGCCTTTTTGTGGGGGTTTTGGGTCGAGACCTTGGTTCTTATAAATACTGGAGGCTGTTTGTTTTTATTAAAGCAGTACTAAAGCCGCGAGCATACCAGCTGTCGCTATCGATCTATTACACACAATCCGATATTCGATTCGATTCAAAATACCACAATTTCATACAAACAAACACTAAGCTTTATAAGATTTTCTATTTTTTTATTTTACCCGCGAAAATGCTTACCCCGATCTCAAACACCCTCTACGACATAGTCGTCAAAATAGCAGTCAACCAACACCACAACGACCTAAAAAAGGCGAACAAAAACCGTACTCCTTCTACGATAGTAACAGAAAAGGGCCACGAAAGTGATTCGGAAACATTGGATTCTGCGGGTAGAGGGTCTACTTCTACTGAATCGATATATAAGGAGAAGGTGTAGGAGTGAGGATGGGACTTCACAATAACTACCACGATTCTGATACACCGGGTCCGCTGATTCGCATCCTATGGACGGAGGGCAAAAAAGAAGCGGTTGTCATTTCAGGGGGGGGGATATTCATCGATAGTCGTCAGGTTTTGGGCTCGGAGTTATTGCTTGCAGAACACTGGAAGTCGACCGGTGTTTTCCGTCGCTAGATTATCTGGTTCACTCAATAGCACACAAGGTCCTGTTATTTCCATCACAAATATTAATGTTAATACGGTTTATTTGCTTTCGTACAGGCGTTCAGCTGATCAGCTAGTGTAATTGCGACCTGCTGTTGTATTTTTGAACCACATTGTGTTGTTATCGTGGTACAAGTACCATTCGCTTCAGAGAATTCTAGAATTCGGAACCCTCAAATGGTACATGTATTTATTAGTCTGCTCTAGGGACATGGGCATCTCAATGTACTGTTCCTTCTATGCAAGGACTTACCCTACCTTGGACCCATTGCCCCTTCCTTGAGCGCCTAGATCTAGGATTAGGATCCAAGGATGCAGGAGTTCCAACCAATCATGTTGAACAGCAGTGCATGTTGAACAGTCCCCGGAATTTCGAGAGCCTCGTCTGAATAGTATATCAACCCCGCTCGATTGATCCCACCGGTCTCTTTTTTGAAGTAGAAGTGTCCTCGTAGGAATTTACATTAATTGCCCCTCACTGCACCGACCATACACGCAAAATCCCAACTGATTAATATATATAATTCCGATTTAAAAACGGCACAAAATGGTCCGTCTGTCAAAAATTAACCGACTACGAAGTCGGCTGGTTCACAGCCCTCTCAATCGAACTTACTGCCGCAACCTCAATGCTCGACTCCCACCACGACACTCTAAAGGACTACATACGACATCCAATCCCCAAACCGCTATATATTCGGTGAAATCAACGATCTCAACATCGTCATAACATCCCTACCAGACGGCGTATATGGTAACACATCCGCCACCAGAGTAGCAGTTGACTTTCGTACAGATTTCCGACTTTGGGACTAAGATTCCTTGTGGAAATTGCGGGTGGTGCACCGTCGGAAAGGCATGATGTGAGGCTTGGGGATGTGGTTGTTTAATAGACCGGGGGGTTGGGAAGTTGCTGGGAGGGGGGGTATTTAAGCCCACGGGGAGTCTTTCAAAGCCACCGGATGCTATACTTCGTGCTCTTCCGCTTGTGAGACGCCGGCCGGTGGGTATACTCAGTGCTCCAGTTTTTCAGGTTCTTGCGGGTGTTTTTTGAACAGGATGGACATAAAATACTTCGCCCACCGGTCGAAGAGGATATTTTACTCGCTCTGAACATCATCATCCGGGGGAAGGCTCGGATCTTTGCGGCCTAGGTACTTGGAACCGCGCTTTAAGCCTTCCGTGTGGATCGAAAACCACGCAAGTCCTGGCTCGATATAAAAGAAACTACAGGAGTACCGCTGGATCATATTTACTGGGGTCACGATGATAACGATACTTACATCTCTACACCACCACCTCGGATCCACTTTGGCGCAATCGCATCCGGGAATAGTCACCTACAGGACGGCGTAACTAGAAAATAATACAAGAACGAACCGGAGCATTGTGTTTCGACACAGAAGCAGGAGATGTAATCGATTCTTGGCCTTGTTTAGTG